GTTTGAATGGTTTGAACAATTATTGTAGGCCTTGTTGAAGGTGAAGGGTGCAACTTTTTAAGAGTCATCTAATCGACAAAGTTGGTCGTGGAGGTTCATTTCGTGAGCCGAAGTAGTTTGATTATGATGCAAATTTCTATGTTTGAAGCTTTTCTATTAAAGCTTACCACAAATTCAATTGATTTTCAAAATTACAAGAATATATGGGATTAAGAATTTCGCAAAGAAAATTCGAAAAAATACTACAAAATAGGATGAATTTTATTCTTTTTTCCTAGTGAATCAAGCAAATTCCTCCAAGATTCTGAATTTTTGATCAAAAATTAGATTTTTTTCCACATATTTAGGAAACCTGATGGAGCCTCTTAGCTATGAGTATGTGATATGAAATCCCGTGAGATTTCTGATCTTTTATTCAATATATATAGTATAACTATCAAGGCAATGAACTTTTACTGCTATCTAACACAAATAGTATCTATAATACTGAAAAAATAGAAAAAAGCTTTTGAAGCAATGAACAACCCGTATGTAAGTAGAAATGACAGATGACAATGGCTTAAAGTAACTGTTTAACCCTTTCCGCCAGATATTTTAGCGACAAAGCATCCTGTATCGCACCGGATATCTTTAGCGTTCCTTGCATGTATGCATTCATAGGTGACAATTCTTCCTTAATAATCTTCACAAATATAGCCTGACTCATCTCAAAGACCACATCAGGGTTAGGTGAAGTGCCCCTAGCGCAGATGGCAGGTTGTCGCCTTAGGTCGATGTACATAGGAGCCCGACCTACGCAATTTACTTGGAAGATTTTGCCTATCGCTTTGGCCAGCTGGTCATCGATAGCCATGTTAATGGCGGTTATAAGGCGATCTTCGTCGATGGCGTCGTCGAAATCTATGAGGCATTCTTCCTTCGGAGGTATGGTAGTAGTTTGAGCGTTGCATTGTTGTGATACAGACGTTTCCCCGACTTTTTCGACTGCTTCTCGAGCGAATTCCTCGACGTGAGGAGCTATCACCTGAAGCAGAAATAATGGAGAAAAAATAAAATTTGAAGCTTATCATATAACTATACCTACTTCCTCTACCTTACTATAATATAACTAGCTACTTCTTGATTTGTAAACACAAAAAATAGCAACTTATCCCATTTGTTTAGATATTTTTGGATATCAAAAATTGTTGGCGGGGGAGGTGAAAGGAGATCTAAAGGTGTGTAGATGTGAACGAGAATTTTTAAAATTTTTGTAGATTATATTGAAATTGATAAATGTTGAGAGTGGAAACCAAAACTTGTATTTAATAGGACACTATTTCTCGCCAAGAAGTAGTCCTACTTGCGTACAAGTGACCTGAGACTATAATTTTTTGAGTAGTGGAGCATCGCGATTAATCTGGAGGACCTCAGTATGCTAAAAGTTACATTGGAACTTCTACTTTTAAAACGGGTTTTGTGTTTTATAAAGAACATGGAAAAGGAACGGTTGTTTGCGGGAGGAGGAAACGGGTGAGGGAGAACCTAACGGTTGTAGGTAGTCTCTTTTCATTTTTCTTGCCCCAACTGATTAGCATCTTTCGGAATCAT